GGAATTGGGAAATTATGGAATTGGAGAATTACGGAATTAGGAAATTATGGAATTGGGGAATTATAGAATTGGGGAATTATGGAATTGGGAATTTATGGAATTAGGAAATTATGGAATTGAGGAATTATGGAATTGGGAAATTATGGAATTGAAGAATTATGGAATTGGGAAATTATGAAATTGGAGAATTATGGAATTGGGAAATTGTGGAATTGGAAAATTTGTAAATTCGGGAATTAAAGAATTTGAAAATATAGAAATTTGTGAATATAAAAATTTCTAAATTTGTAAATTCCTAAATTTAGAAAATTGTAACCATAGCTTTCCTAAACCCGTCAGTCCCACGCGCCATCTCATGCGTTGCCATCAGTACACTCTTCTGTCGTCAAAAGATAAAAGCGCCTATTCATTCATTCTAAACCTCACACTTCCGCCGAATTATTTCAATTAGCTCACAAATGTTCCGATAAAGACAAGAAAGAAATTGTCCGACGAAAAGCCAAAAGCGATCCTTCAAAGTTGCTTTCGATGTTCAACCGTTAAACATTTAATCTGGATTTTACTGCACGATCGTAATCTTTCGCGGAAATCTCTTTTCCTAAACGAAATTGCGTACAATGTAACCTTTATTGTTTCCGAAATTACGCAATCTTATGATATACCATTAATACACTATAATCCTACAATTATTTTCGATCTTTCTAGGAATTTAGTTACTACATGACTATGTATGGAACTTCTTGAGGAACTGTGCAAAAAGTAATCTTATCTCAAAATCATTTTAACCGCGTCAAATATACTTTTTATTGCAACACGTCTTGCAAGGCCGTCATCATTACACAAAATTTCATAAAGTTATTAACTTTTTGTTTGCGTTGTTTAATTCGTCGAGGTATTATCTTGTCATTATCAGTGGCGGAGTCTTATTTTTAAACCAACGGAAGAGTGAGGGTATATTGCCGAAAAAAATATTGGGCTCCTGAAAATTTTTAAATGTTTAAATTTTTAAATGTTTAAGTTCGTGGATTTATGGACTCATACATTTATAGATTTATAGATTTTTAAATTCCTAGATCCCTAAATTGCTATAACTCCGAATTCCTAAATCCTCAACTCCTTAAACCCTTGAATCCCTAAATTCCCGATTTCCTAAATCCCTGACTCCCTAAATCCCCATCTATCTAAATCGCCATCTAGCTAAATCCCAGTCTACCTAAATCCCCGACTCCCTAAATTTCCAACTCTCTAAATGCCCCATTCCCAAAATCCCCGACTTCCTAAATCCCCGTCAACCTAAATCCCCGACTTCTTAAATTTCCGACTCTCTAAATCCTCGACTCCCTGAATCCCCGTCTACCTAAATCCCCGACTCCCTGAACCCCCGACTCCCTAAATTCCCCATTTCCTAAATCCCCGACTCTCTAAATCGCCGACTTCCTAAATCTCCGCCTCCTAAAATCCCCGACTCCCTAAATCCCCGTCTACCTAAATTCCCGACTCCCTAAATCTCTGTCCCCTAAAACCCTCCCCATCCTTAAAAAAATAATAAAACCACAGTGTTAATTTGGAAATAAGGCTTTCTGAAAAATATAAAATATATTGTACCATACGAAATACATATACTACTACAATGTACACTCGTATCATATTTTTTAAAATAATGTGCAACTTTAATATTGGACTTTCATATCAAAGAAAAACTATGATACTTGATATCAAACTTTCTCGAAAGAAAAATGTAGGCAAAACCCAACTTAGACATCGGTAATGATCGTTACTGAAGTGGCTGATTGTCTTGCTTTTACTATTTACATTAAAAATGATATTTATCGAGATATCAATCTACCGCCAATAATTAAAATAGTACACGTTTTATAGGCTTTGCAGGATAATGTGTAATTGTTTGAAAGATAACTGATGACGTATCCGTTATTGTAATAAAGAAAAAAACTGATTTCTGTCGACTCAGATGACTTGACACTTTTTGCAGGAAATATTTCGCACGTGTGTTTTTTTCAAAATTTTTAATTTTCGATTATATGTAAAAGCAAATATTTCTATATGTATTACAAATTTCAGTAACTTCCTACCGTTCAGTTCCCTTCTCGGCAATATAACCAGTACACTAAACCATATTACTCGAAAAATATCCATGGAAAAGTTCATAATCGTTTTAATTATCCCACGGTGAAATATGAGCCATTTTGATGAATCTTATCTGGGATTAGCAAACAGAATAAGTTAGATAAGGCTTTATTCCATAAATTGATAATTCATTATTATCCAGTATTACAGCGACTTACGATTAGACAAATTTCAATTAATCAACGTCATTTTTAATTGCCACTTATAATCTTTGAACTAGAAGTAATCCTTATAATTAGACAAGTATTATATATAAAACCGAAAAATCGAACTTTTTGCATTCTGTTATCGCGATCGAACGTTTAAGCCTACAAGTTCAATGAGTAAATCGAACAGTGCAGCCTTGTGCATAAAAATGAACGCATAATTTATACAATTAACCTACATTGTAAACTGTTTACGCTCTTTGCGATTTCATAAACTTCCGATTGGAGGAAGAGCTCCTTTAGACAAATTTATGTATCTGAAGTTAACGTTAATATTGTCATAACTATTAATAATTATTACACATACAATGTTTAACACGATGACTTTTTCTAACTCGTCCGCTATCTTTACCCTAAACTAAATGAACTATTATTATAGTTATTATACAAGAAAGTACTGACGCCAACCCACAAATTGGCGCGCGGTGGACAGCTTCAAATGTTAGATAGCCCTTGATAAGTGTCCACATGCAAGTTTATGTTCCATTTGAAAGAGACTTTAGATAGGTGCCCTCGGTAACTGTCCACACGATACTTTCAAATTTTAGACAGCAGGAATGTGGGAATTGGGGAATGTGGGAATTGGGGAATGTGGGAATTGGGGAATGTGGGAATTGGGGAATGTGGGAATTGGGGAATGTGGGAATTGGGGAATGTGGGAATTGGGGAATGTGGGAATTAGGAAAAGTGGAATCGGGGAATGTGAGAATTGGGGAATGTGGGAATTATGGAATGTGAAATTAGAAAATGTAGGAATTGAGGAAAGTGGAATTGGGGAATATGGGAATTGGGGAAAGTGGAATTAGGAAATTGAGAAATCCATAATTTGAGAATTTGCGAATATAGAAATTTACGAATGTAGAAATCTCAAGATACAGAAATTTACAAGTTGAAGAATCTCTAAATTTGGAAAATTGCAACCATAACCAATCTAACCACAGCTCCAAGTGCCAACTCGTGGGTTGACATCGGTATTGTACTTTTGGGCGCCATCTTAAATGTATACCGATTGCAAATGGCGGTTTAGCGTCAGCTGAGAATATGGAGATTTGCAAGTTTGAGAATTTGGAAATTTGGTAATTGGGAAATTGAGAATTGGGGGTATGGAATTGGGGAATATGGGAATTGGGGAATGTGGGAATTGAGGAATGTGGGAATTGGGGAATGTGGGAATTGGGGGAATGGGAATTGGGGACTGTGGAATTGGGGAAAGTGGAAATTAGGGAATATGGGAAGTGGGGAGTATGGGAATTGGGGAATGTGGAATTGGGGAATGTTGGATTTGGGGAATGTGAGAATTGGGGAATGTGGGAATTGGGGAATGTGGGAATTAGGAAAAGTGGAATCGGGGAATGTGAGAATTGGGGAATGTGGGAATTATGGAATGTGAAATTAGAAAATGTAGGAATTGAGGAAAGTGGAATTGGGGAAAGTGGAATTGGGGAATGTGGGAATTGTAGAATGTGGAATTAGTAAATGTGGGAATTGAGGAAAGTGGAATTGGGGAATATGGGAATTGGGGAAAGTGGAATTAGGAAATTGAGAAATCCATAATTTGAGAATTTGCGAATATAGAAATTTACGAATGTAGAAATCTCAAGATACAGAAATTTACAAGTTGAAGAATCTCTAAATTTGGAAAATTGCAACCATAACCAATCTAACCACAGCTCCAAGTGCCAACTCGTGGGTTGACATCGGTATTGTACTTTTGGGCGCCATCTTAAATGTACACCGATTACAAATGGCGGTTTGTCGTCAGCTGAGCGTCCGCACATATTTTTGTTAATTTTTGCTCTTCAATTTTTAAACCAAATCGTAAACGATCGTTTTCTAACCTAATTTCTTCGTTTGTACTAATTGGTATTTACAGTAAAATATTTAGAATAACTTTTACTGGAAACATTTATCCCATATTCTTTATAGCTGTCGACCATTTATCAAGTTCACGTTCGACAATCTCGTCATCGTCTGGCAAATTCGTCATAAATTTTTCCATGTTGCAATGAGGACTTCTCTCGCATAATTTTGTCATCTAACAGAAAAAGATATTTCTTGTTTACAAATAATATTACTCTTTACCGAATATTTATCTCTTAATATTTAGTTCATTTACTTAAAAATAGGGAAATAAATTTTACCTTCTCGGTTCGTTCTTCGTTCAAGGGAAAATCAATGTTATAAAAAATGCCTTTTACACTGCAAAACATGATCATCAATTTACGATAATCATATCGTATATAGGAAATCTCAGTATATTACCTTTCTTTCAATTTTTCCCAATGCCGAAGACAAAAATTAATGGTATCATCTAGAAAAAGGGGATTCCTAAATGCAAATCTGATTATGGCCGCCTTGTATTTATCCGATAGGGTGGTATTATCTGATATTGACAAGTTTAAGTACACTTTAAAAAGTTTTACGTTCTCTGTATAACTCAACGCAGCTAACATTTCCACTGAATTATTTCTTTCGCACATTTCCAACATCTTATACCACAGCGACTCGTTCGCCCTCCGACCAGCATTGTCGTACATCCAGCTTGACAAGTGCGCTGATTTTCTAAATCAAACAATTTACCTATTCAAACTTTATTAAAACTTATATTCTATCATAACTTTCTTAATATCCTTCACCGTCCGTATAATGTTACAAAAATAATCGATGTACTTGTACTTATTCGGATCATCCAAGAAGTCCGCCATTTTATCAGCCGCCATTTTGATGCACTCGTCGTGTCCAAGTAAACAAGCAGCCTCCAACACTTCTGCTCTCATCAACACCGTAAACAAAGTATCCTTAGGATCATCCTCGTAACCAATATTTTTAATCAAATTCTCCATAATGCTCAACATAAAAGCCTGCGAATTAAAACGTTGCTACATTTTCTTAAAAAGCTTCAATTATCAAAAACTTGTATTACCTTGATTGGTTTAGCCGAGGGATACTGTAACGCGAGTTTGTAATTCTCTGTTAGGTACAACAGGTGGGACCACGGTGGGAAATCTTCTTCTTGTTTCATATAAAGAACTAAATCTAGGAACACTGATCGTTCGACGCGGTTGAACATTACCAAGTCTGTGATGTCGCTCATGATTTGGGCACGGGTGAGGACATGTATGTTTGTGAAGTTTTCGGAACGCAGGTACCTGGCGATCTTCCTCCAGTTAGTCTCGTCGTAATTCACACGATAGTAGCCTAATAAGGACAGCATATGTAGCATACACACCACATGTAGCATGTATGACACATGTAACATATACAGCATGTATAACATTGTATACAAGGTATGTAGCATAACATATATGATACATGCAGTGTATACAACATATGTGATATGTATAACATATGTAACATACCCAGCATATGTAGCATACACTACACATGTAGTATATATGGCACATGTAACACAGCATGTATGGCATATACAAGGTATGTAGCATAACATATATGGTACATGTAATGTATGCAGCGTATGTGACATGTATAACATATGTAACATACCCAGCATATGTAGCATACACACAACATGTAGTATATATGGCACATGTAACACAGCATGTATGACATATACAAGGTATGTAGCATAACATATATGGTACATGTAATGTATGCAGCGTATGTGACATGTATAACATATGTAACATACCCAGCATATGTAGCATACACACAACATGTAGTATATATGGCACATGTAACACAGCATGTATGACATATACAAAGTATGTAGCATAACATATATGGTACATGTAATGTATACAACGTATGTGACATGTATAACATATGTAACATACACAGCATATATAGCATACACAGGAGGTATAGCACATATGGCACATGTAACGTATGCAACATGTATAACATATGCAAAGTATGTAGCATGTACAGCATGTATAACATATATGGTACATGTAGCATATACAGTATATGTAGCATATATAAAGCATGTAGCATATACAGCATATGTAGCATATATACATAACAACATATTGTCACAAAACATAACTTGATCTTCAAAAGACCTTGAAAAATCGCACCTCTCCTAAAGTCCCCACATTTTCAACAATACTGCCACATACAAATATCTGATCTCTCCGTATCCTCCACCTAACCTAACCATAATTACCACTTTGTTTCTTGTTAACTATAATCCAATCCTCCGGGTCGATTCCCTCCACAGTCAAAACTTCATCCGGTCTCAACCAGTTCATCGTCCTAGTGTCCTCAAAATTCAGATTCGACCCTGTCGTATAAGTGATCGGCACCCACCATTGATAAGTTTCGTTATTGTCCTTGAGAAGGTTATTGGGCTCGTTCTCATGTACATGTACGAACACATAATCTTCTTGCTCGAATGTCACGTCACCGGTTGAATAATTACGTTCGACGGTCACCAGAGGATATCTTTTCTGTTTGATCCAGGTGTTCATGACTTCTCTCAGGTTATAGTCATTGTGGGGCACGTCTGAGTTGTCCAGGGCAGTCTGCAGGGCTCCCCAGAGGCAGTCGGGATCTGCAGAGTCGAATTCGCTGAATAACATAATATTTGGTTTAATTTTGAGGAGGACAATAAAATACAGGGTTAATGAAAGGAATACTAACTGTTTGTCTAAGTAGCCGATGAGGCCCCTGCGGAAGACCTCTGGAGTGACGATGTTGGCCAGCATATGCAATATAGAGGGAGCTAAAATAATTGAAGGAGACATTCTACATAATAATAGATAGATAGATATTCTACATAATAATAATACATAGATCCATGTTAATGGAGTATAATATACACAACAGTACACCTTTGTTATAAACAGAAATCGAAAAGGCCGACTCGATCTGATCAGGCGACTCCAAAACCGTGTCAATTGGATTTGCATTCCATTCAATATCCATGGTCAGAGAAAATTGCAAGGTTCTAGCTATGAAATAGTCCATGTTCCTCCACTCTTTCAAAATCTGCAAATTATGTTTTAGTTGTGTACTCCTCGAGCTGCCTTAATGCACGGCTCTGGCGGTCGAAGCCGTGCATTAAACGAGCATATGCAACTGCTACGGGAACGACTTAAGAGAATGACCTTGTCTACGATGTATTGCTGAAAGTACGAAGCGAAACCTTCGTTCAGCCAAATGTGGGACCACGATTTTGGGCTGACCACGTTACCGAACCACTGGTGCGCTAGTTCGTGGACTACTGTTGTTGCGATCGAGTACTTCCTGTCGAAGGAGTCTTCTTCTTCGTTGAAGGCGAGATTCCTTTCTCTGGAAATGTAGTTTGGATTGAGTAAGTTTGGATTGAGGGACTGGTGAGAAGGTTGGGATATGGGGACGTTGGGACGTTGGGATGAGGGGACGTTAGGATGTGGGGACGTAGAAAAATTGGGATATAGGGACGTCGAGGAATAGCAAAGTGGGGGGATAGCAAAGTGGGGGCATAGCAAACTTGGGGGATAGCAAAGATGGGGGATAGCAAAGTTGGGGGATAACAAAGTTGGGGGATAGCAAAATTAGGGCATAGCAAAGTTGGGGGATAGCAAAGTTAGGGCATAGCAAAGTTGGGGGATAGCAAAGTTGGGGGATAGCAAAGTTGGGGGTTATCAAAGTGGGGAGATAACAAAGTTGGGGCATAGCAAAGTTGGGGCATAGCAAAGTGGGGGGATAGCAAAGTTGGGGGATAGCAAAGTCGGGGGATATCAAAGTTGGGGCATAGCAAAGTTGGGGCATAGCAAAGTTGGGGCATAGCAAAGGTGGGGGATAGCAAAGTGGGGGGATAGCAAAGTGGGAGGATAGCAAAGTTGGGGCATAGCAAAGTCGGGAGATATCAAAGTGGGGGGATAAAAAAGTTGGGGCATAGCAAAGTGGGGGCATAGCAAAGTTGGGGCATACCAAATTGGGGGCATAGCAAAGTTGGGGCATAGCTAAGTTGGAGCATAACAAAGTTGGGGCATAGCAAAATGGGGGCATAGCAAAGTTGAGGCATAGCAAAGTTGGGACATAGCAAAGTTGGGGTATAGCAAAGTTGGGGCATAGCAAAGTTGGGACATAGCAAAATGGGGGCATAGCAAAGTTGGGGCATAGCAAAGTTGGGACGTAGGGACGTAGAGACATTGAGAAGTTGGGGCATAGCAAAGTTAGAACATAGGGACGTCGGCACGTTGAAAGGGTGATGCATAGGGACGTTTGCGACGCAGAGAAGTTGGGTCATAGGGACGTCGGTGCATAAAGAAGTTGGAGCAGAGCAAAGTTAGAACATAGGGACGTCGGCACGTTGGCATGGTGATGCATAGGGACGTTTGGGACGCAGAGAAGTTGGGTCATAGGGACGTCGGTGCATAAAGAAGTTGGGGCATAGTACAATCAACACGTTGGGAAGGTGAGATATAGGTACATTTTTGACGCAGAACAGTTGAGGCGTAGGGACGTGGGAACGTAGAAAAGTTGGGACATAGGGAAGCTAGAATGTAGGGAAGTTAAGACATACTGAAATTGTGAAGGAAAGTTGGGATGTTAAGACGTTCAGTGATGCAGCATCAAACAAATGTGACTTCAGGAGGTTAGGACGTAGGGATGTTGGGACGTCGGTAAGTGGGTACGTCGGTAAGTTAGAACCTCACATCATGAAATTAGCCCATAATGAAATTGAGACGTCAACAAAATGGTTCCTTGAAACATCGACTTGGAATATTAAAAAGTCCTCAAATTAACAAATTACTAAATTGAAAGCTGCTAAGTCACAATACGAAATATGAAATCACAATATGAAAATACAACTACCCCTCAAATTAAAAATGAAAATAAATTTCAAAATACAATAAATCTTTTATCTCATCAAAGAATTTCTCCATCGCATCATATAAAGAAACGTACGGATATGTAATAAGTCCCCAGTTCTCCATAGCACCAGTCGCATGCTGAGGAAGAGCCACATGGTCCATCTTGGGCACTCGAACAGTGCTATTCGTGTACTGTTCCAACTCCCTCGCTGCTTTCTCCGCGATTTCAAGAGCAAACTTAAAATATGGAATCAACTCTCTTCTGCCCACGATATTAATTGAACCATCAGAATTCGAGACGTTCTCATAATCGGCTATTACGAAGGCTACCAGATAGCTGGACATAATAGGTGTCCTCTCAAAATGCGTCCACACTTTTCCATCGGTTTCGTCGTACGATTTCTCTCGTGCAGGCATGTTTGACATCGCTGTGTAATTATCGTAATGTTTGATGGAAATATTGTAGGTCGCTTTTAAAGCAGGCTCGTCCCAGCAAGGGAACGCGTAGCGAGCGTAGGTTGCTTCGAATTGAGTGGCGACGACCCATCTATAAGTTTGATGCAATATATCAAATGTAGGGCTTTTGGAACTATACGAAGTGTAGGGGTTTTGGAACTGTACAAACTGTATGGGTTTTGTAACTATACAAACTAGAGGGCTTTTGTAACTATACAAATTGTAGGGGTTTTGTAACTATACAAACTGAAGGGCTTTTGGAACTATACAAACTGGAGGGCTTTTGTAACTATACAAACTGTAGGGCTTTTGGAACTATACAAATTGTAGGGCTTTTGTAACTATACAAACTGGAGGGCTTTTGTAACTATACAAATTGTAGGGGTTTTGTAACTATACAAACTGAAGGGCTTTTGAAACTATACAAACTGTAAGGCTTTTGTAACTGTATGAACTGTAGGGCTTTTGTAACTATACAAACTAGAGGGCTTTTGTAACTATACAAACTGGAGGGCTTTTGTAACTATACAAATTGTAGGGCTTTTGTAACTATACAAACTGAAGGGCTTTTGGAACTATACAAACTGGAGAGCTTTTGTAACTATACAAACTGTAGGGCTTTTGGAACCATACAAACTGCAGGACTTTTGTAATTATACAAACTGCAGGACTTTTGTAACTATACACACAATAGGGCCTTAGTAACTATACGAACTGTAGGACTCTTGTAACTATACAAATTTTATAATTTGTGTAACTGTGGTTGTTAAATTTGTGAACTATGCTTGCTATGTTGTCAGTAATAGAACTGAGTGAGGATGTTGTCAGTAATAGAGCGTCACTGGGTAGCGATATGATGCTTGTATTTAAATAACACTATACAAATTTTGTAGCTTATATCACTAAGGTTATTAAATTTGGAACTATTAAATTTGGTTATTAAAAAAGTTATTAAATTTGTCATTAATGGAATTGTAGAAGTGGAACGGTGGGGTAGTGGCAATATAGTTAGAGCGTCACTGGATATGACGCTTGTACTTGTTTATGGTGATGAAATGAGAAGTTAGGAAATATCGAAAAGTAGAAAACTAAGGAACTAGAAGACTAGAGAACTAGAAAACTAGAAAAATTGATAATTCATAAATGTAGAAGTATCTCTTGTAAAGTACCTGAAACTGCATGTGACTTAAAATCTTCTAAACCCACTATAAATTGCAATATAGCAGGAGACTCTTATTTCTCTAATTTTCTAACCCTCCTATAAATGGCAATATAGCAAGAGACCACTATTTCTCTCATTTTTTAACACCCCTATAAATAGCAATATAGTGAAAGACACTATTCCTCTAATTTTCTAAACCCCTATAAATAGCAATATAGTGAAAGACACTATTCCTCTAATTTCGTAAACACTCTATAAATTGCAATATAGTGAAAGACCCTATTCCTCTAATTTTCTAAACCCCTATAAATTGCAATATAGTGAAAGACCCTATTCCTCTATTTGTCTAAACTCCCTATAAATTGCAATATAGTGAAAGACCCTATTCCTCTAATTTTCTAAACTCCCTATAAATTTCAATATAGTAAAACACCCTATTCCTCTAATTTTCTAAACCCCTCTATAGATGGCAATATAGCGAGGGACCCCTATTCCTCTAATTTTCTAACTCTCCTATGGCAATGTATCAAAAGATCTCTATTCCTCCTATTTTCTAAACCCCTACAAATGGCAATATAGCGAGACTTCCTAACTTACACTGTATTCCCTTCCTCGTCTTCATAAGAGCTTTTAAAACATCCAAATAAATCGTCTCTAATATCTCCCAAGAATTTCATGTTCAACCAATAAACCCCTTCTTTCAGAACCGTACCAAGACCAATAGTCAATTTCTGCGTCTCATTATCGTGCTCGTGCACTTCTGGCACAATCACACCGCCATTTTCTAAAACTACTCGCGTCGCATTCTCATCCACCTCTAACTCCATCATATGTAAAACGATATTCGATGTTGGATCGAGAACTTTGAATTTTATACTAATTTCTCCTTCGAATCCAGAATCTCCATCGATGTCTGGTATTATTTTGAGGTTATAGTGTATCGGCACTGTGGTGTTTGGCAAACGATAGTCAATTTCTGTTTCGTTTTTAGCTTCTGAGTCGCCATTTTGCACTGGTAATGCTGCTGTGCCGCTTATGAGCACGAAAATTGCGATTGCAAGCATTCTGCAATATAACGAGAGGTACTTGAATAAGATAATTAATCACAGTTTTGCTCTTTTCACCAAAGAAATAAAATTTTCAAAGTATATTCACCTCACGTATAAAAGTTGGAATTCAAAAGTTGACAATTTTTGGAACAATAAATTTTGTTTTATTGCAATGTGTTAAAAATTCTACTCACATTATTAAATCTACTTTAGTTACATCAAATTAATTTTTGCCAAATGTATTTATTTCTTAAGAACACTAAACACTTAATTATTTTTTATAACATTTTCAAAGAACAACGATTTCAACTTGCAGAACTACATTTCTTTAGTAGACAACGATTCTAACTGTTCCGCTTTATAACCCAGCGAATAATTGCGTGAATAATCAATGAAATTAACCTACGTCCTCCATAATTAAACAGTGTTCAACAATGCACAATAGATCTCTTTTTCGAAAAGGCCGAAGAAAAACAATGAAAATTACCATTTTTCTATCCAACGCTCGAAAACATTAAACGGCAATATAATAAAAATAAACTTACTCCAATAACGTTCAATTTTTATTATAAACGCCCTGTAATACAAAAATATATAATTACAGACATATTTCAATTATTTACAACATATTCAGTTACATTATTTAAGTTGAACGTTATCTCAACGTTTAACAAAATGGCGCTCCCTTCAAGGGCCATAGGATACAGTTTACAAATAAACGTCCTACGATTCTTACAACACAACCTAGTGTTTATTCGTTTAGTGCTCGCTGGAGCAAAATTACTATTACGCTAACAATTATTAGTAGAAGCGTGTAATAAATAGTGAGAGGGCAACGAGGAGCGACGCGAACGTTACAGATGTGGCACTGCTGAACACGTGTTGATTCTCCGACAGCCATTTTTCAACTTCTGCACCGTAGGCATCGACCCAGTCCATATTTGACGATGCTTTCTCTACGACGCTCTGCAAATCTTCAGCGTTTAATCCTTGTCTGCCCACGAAACGACTCAGCTGAAGGGGAAAAAATTGTTTTATATTAGAAATAATTGCATAAAGGTAGGAGACCTTATTGGCAAGCTAGAGGGCGGTAGCGCTGCAGTGACGGAGCCATGGGGAAGTTGGGCCGTAGGGAGGTGGAGACACAGGGAAATTGGGGCGCAAGGAAGTTGGGGGGGAAGGGAAGTTGGGGCGTAGGGAAATTGGGGCGTAGGGAAGTTGGGGCGTAGGGAAGTTGGGGCGTAAGGAAATTGGGGCGTAAGGAAGTTGGGGCGTAGGGATGTTGGGACGTAGGGAAATTGGGGCGCAAGGAAGTTGGGGCGCAAGGAAGTTGGGGCGTAGGGAAGTTGGGGCGTAAGGAAATTGGGGCGTAGGGAAGTTGGGACGTAGGGAAATTGGCGCGTAAGGAAATTGGGGCGTAAGGAAATTGGGGCGTAGGGAAGTTGGGACGTAGGGAAATTGGGGCGTAAGGAAGTTGGGGCGCCGGGAAGTTGGGGCGTAAGGAAATTGGGGCGTAGGGAAGTTGGGACGTAGGGAAATTGGCGCGTAAGGAAATTGGGGCGTAAGGAAATTGGGGCGTAGGGAAGTTGGGGCGTAGGGATGTTGGGACGTAGAGAAATTAGGGCGTAAGGAAGTTGGGGCGCCGAGAAGTTGGGGCGTAAGGAAATTGGGACGTAAGGAAGTTGGGGCATATGGAAATTGGTGCGTAAGGAAGTTGGGGCGTATGGAAATTGGGACGTAAGGAAGTTGGGGCGTAGGGAAATTAGGACGTAGGTACATTGGGCCTTAAAGAAGTTGGGACGTAGGACGTTAGGACATACAGAAGTTAGGACATCAGTAAGTCAGGATTTTGGTAATTTTCTGCGTCGGTAAGTTAGAATGTCGATAAGTCAGACTTTGATAACTTTCTGCGTCGGTAAGTCAGAACGTCGGTAAGTCAGAATAACTTACTCCATCGGTAAGTTAGGAGGTCGGTAAGTCAGGACGTTACTAACTCGCTGTCGGCAAGTTAGTACACTGCATCACAACAGTCTACCCTAATAAAGTTGAGCCATCGACAAAATACTACTATATATCATCAAATAGTTCAACACCTCATGAAAATTTAACCATTTTGCAATAAGATCCAAGACTGTAATCGGAAATTCAAAGTTGGAAACCATAATCTAATCAAAAGCTAACACAGCTTCTAAGTGTATCTACCAAAAGTCCTTCATCAGTCAACATTATAACAAATATCTGTTAATCGTACCTCAACATATTGGCTGTTCTTCGTGATGCCGTTCGCAATTGCCTGTACCGTCGATGTGATAATGTCCTTTCCGTTGGGCCTGCAATAAAAAAATGAACATCACTCATCATCCTAACACATTAAGCGATTCGTACTAAAATCGTTAATTACAGTTGTTTAATCCTCTTTTGTTCGCTCTTGAGCATGTCTATAGCGAGATCGACACCCTCGTTGTGTTCGGACACAACAGCCTGCACAGCACTGCTGAAGCTCAGTACACTGCCCTCCTTAAGTGTAGAATTAATGAAGTTCTTCAAAATTTCAGTGGAGTCAGGGCAAGCCAAGAGCGCGAACATACTCTTCCTTTCGTCCTCATCCCTGATGTCCTTCAGAATAGCCTCAGTCTTGTTCCAAGTATCTGCATTAGCGTTCCTCAGTCCAGCGCAGATGATGTTGTTCTTCAAATTGACATCCAATCTGCGAATTAACGAAAACCGTAGAAATATAATCGTGTGCACGTCTCCAAAGATGGCTCATAAGACACTCACTGATACTGAGCGGAGTTGTTAAGCCACGCCTTAAATTCTTCCTCAGCAAAGCTCTTGCACTTGTCAAGCCCAGCTCTGCAGGTCCATTTCACCAGGTTCACTCTGAGAAGCTTCTTAAGATCTGTGTCCTCCTTCTGCTTATCCTCCTCGAGCTTGAAGAGGACGTCGTCGACCACCGATTTCGTTATGTATTTCACGTAAAGCTGCAACCATTCCAAGTTAACACCTCCATGCCCTCCAAACACGTCCCTCAACCTACCTTGAACACGTTGTAGTGTTTGGAGGTGCGCAGCATGTTCTGCAGGAAGTTCAAGTTCCTGAAGGCCGTGGACCACACTACGAAGTCGGTCTCCTTGTTAAGGTAGTTCGTCAGACTCAACGCGGTGCTGTACTTCACATGATTGGCGCGGGCCAGGTTCAGAACGTCGTCCACGAGCTGAGCACGGTTCACCGGAACTATCACATTGTGGTCATCCTTCAAGGCCTTGTCCAGCTTCTTCCAGTTGTCTTCGTCATAGTTCACGCGGTAGTAACCTGGAAATCGAGAAGATTCATGGTGAGGTTCAGGGTTATCCAGGACCCAGTAAGGGCGGAGGTCACTTCTCAGGATCGAGTAAGGTCCCAGGTCACCTGCGTGGATCCAGTTGGTTCCCAGGTCATTCGTCAGGAGCCAGTAGGGTCCGAGGTCACCTGTCAGGACCCACTTCGCTCATAGACGTTAGGGCACAAGGAAGTTGGGACGTAGGGAAGTTGGGACGTAGGGAAGTTGGGAGGTAGGAAAGTTGAGACGGTGGGAATTTGGGACATAAGGAAGTTGGGACGTAGGGAAGTTGGGACATAGGGAAGTTAGGATGTAGGGAAGTTGGGACATAAGGAAATTGGGACGTAGGGAAGTTGGGACATAGGGATGTTGGGACGTAAGGAATTTGGGGCGTAAGGAAGTTGGGGCGTAAAGAAATTGGGGCGTAAGGAAGTTGGGGCGTAGGGAAGTTGGGACGTAGGGATGTTGGGACGAAGGGAAATTGGGGCGTAAGGAATTTGGGGCGTAGGAAAATTGGCACGTAGGGAAGTTGGAACGTAGGGAAGTTGGGACGTAGGGAAGTTGGGACGTAGGGAAGTTGGGACGTACGGAAGTTAGGGCGTAGGGAAGTTGGGCCGTAGAGAAGTTGGGACGTAGGGAAGTTGGGACATAGGGATGTTGGCATGTAGGGAAGTTGGGACATAAGGAAGTTGGGACGTAGAGAAGTTGGCACATCGGGGTCACCCATCAGAACCCAGTAAGGTCCCAAGTCACCTACTAGGACCCAGTAACATCCCAGGTCACCTACTAGAACCCAGTAACATCCCAGGTCACCTGCTAGGACCCACTAAGCTCCCAACTCACCCCCCACGCCCCAGTTCACCCCCAAATCACCTACCACTTTGCAAAATATTAAAGATGACCCAGTCGTCCTTCTTCGCAGACTCGTCAATTTCCTTGGACGCCTCGTTTGGTCCTAACCAATTCTCCGGTTTTGTCTGCTTGAAGTCAGCCTTGGAGGAGGTGGTGTACGTCAGAGGTATCCACCATTTTGTATCGTCGGTCGTTCCGTCCGCAAGGAATCGCTGTTGTGTTAGTTCCAGTTTACCGTTGTCCTTCCTCTTCACGGTCAACACCGGATACCCTGATTTGTTTACCCATGCGTCCATCACCTGGTCGAAGGTGACGTCCGACCATTTCCAATTCGATTCATTCTGGAGAACTTGGAAGAGGTTGTACGACTCGGTTACATTGAACTTGCTGTAATTACACGTACGAATGATTATGGTGGCTGGCAAGATGGCAGTCGACAACTGCCAGATCGCACGCTGTATAAATTTTTTTTGTTAAGGTAGTTGAACATTTGTAGGATTTGGTAAGAGGATTCTTTTGAAAAATTATTATTATGTAAGAATACGTACTATGTTTCTAGGTAGTTTTTCAGTCCAGCACGGAAGACGTCGTCAGTTAGGATGTGAGACATCATTCGAATAACGGCTCCGGCTGTAACAAGTATATTATATTTATTGCATGAATAAATCGGCAATATAACGAGAGTTTATTACATAATGTACTTTTTTTGGAATCAGATCGTAGGGACTAATATTAATCTCGATAAAATTCCCAGATGTCGATCGCATCTCGATAAGTAGACTTGTACTATGGACTTTGCGTATCAAGCAATGACTGAACGAAATTTTTAATTTTCCTCTTACGCTTTATCTATAGCCGGTATTTGCAACGAGGTTACCGATGGATAAGATAGCACCGTATTAACACCTTTGTACGGTAATCAATAAAAATCGTTAAATGTCAAGATACTGTTCTACTTGGAGCGCCATTATAGAGCACTTCATTTTAGGAAATCGAATTATCATATATATTAATATGTATCATTAAATGATGTTAATTTCTCATATTCTCACTTCACAAATTCTCAAATCTCCCTATTGTCTTATTCCACAATTCTCTAGCTTCTTAACTCCCTAATTTCCCAAATACCCAAATTCCAAATTCGCTAAGTTTCCAACTCTTTAATTTCCCGATCTCCTAATTTCCCAATTACCTAATTTCCCAACGCTCAAATTTCCCGATCGCCTAATTTCCCAAATTTCTAATTCCCCAGCGCTCTAATTTCCCGATCTTCTAATTTCCCAATTTTCTAATTCCCCAGCGCTCTGATTTCCCGATCTCCTAATTTCCTAATTCCCCAGCTCTCTAAATTCCCGATCTCCTAATTTCGCAATTACCTAATTTACCAATTACCTAATTTACCAACGCTCTAATTTCCCGATCGCCTAATTTCCCAAATTTCTAATTCCCCAGCGCTCTAATTTCCCGATCTTCTAATTTCCCAATTTTCTAATTCCCCAGCGCTCTGATTTCCCGATCTCCTAATTTCCCAATTTCCTAATTCCCCAGCTCTCTAAATTCCCGATCTCCTAATTTCCCAACTCTCTAAATTCCCGATCTCCTAATTTCCCAATTTCCTAATTCCCCAACTCTCTAATTTCCCTACTCTCTAATTTTCCGATCTCCTAATTTCCCAATTTCCTAATTCCCCAACTCTCCAATTTTCCGATCTCCTAATTTCCCAACTTCCTAATTCCCCAGCTCTCTAATTTCCCGATCTCCTAATTTCCAAATTCTCAAATTCCCAAATTGTAAAATCCCCAATTTCCCAAATCCCCAAACTCTCAAATCCCCAAATTGTCAAATTCCCAAATCCCCAATTTCCCAAATCCCCAAATTCTCAAATCCCCAATTTCCCAAATCCCCAAATTCTCCAATTAAACGATGTCAATGTCTCTAGAAAAATTCTTACGAAAAAGTTTTAGAAGATAACGCAATTAATAATGAAATAGGAAATTACATTTCTGGTAGGCGATGCTGTCGAAAAGTTTGCTAATTTCAGCAGGAGTCGAAACGTCGTGGTTCATGGCGCGGACAGTTTTAACCGCGTCAGCGATGAAAGCGTTGCCTTGGGTGTTGTCCACAACGAACGTCTCGTCCAGACGCCATTCCGGTTTCCACTAGAAAATAAATTTCAAACGTAAACTCACGTTCTGATAACGTCATTATGAATTTGTCGGCCATTTTGATTCGCTCATTGACCTTTCATAACATTGTTTACCATGTGAGCGATGAAATATTGCAAGTAATCGGCGAATCCCTCGTTCAGCCAAATGTATTTCCACCATTTTGGACTGACTAGGTTTCCAAACCACTGGTGAGCGAATTCGTGGGCGATCACTGTGGTTATGCTCTGTTTGCTGCGGAGGGTGGTTACTCCTTCTTCGTAGAGAAGAGCGGATTCTCTGTAACAAATTTAAAAATTCATGTTTAATATTTTTTTTAATGAATTCATGTCACATATTTGATGATATAGTACTTGAAATATGAAATGTATATTGGATTTGGAAAATTGCAATTTGAACTGTGTCATTTTTCCCGCCTTTTTTTTCAAGATGGCCGCAGACAATGGCGTCTGAGAAACTAATCAACCGCCATATTGTTAACGTCCTTTAGTAAACAATTAATTAACCACAATATATTTAATTTTGTAGAAAATTTCATGTAATAAATAATTAATTGACAACAATGTATTTAATGTCATGAAAAATATAATCTAGTAAACAATTAGCTAACTATAATATTGTTAACGTCGTAGAAAATGTCATGTAGTAAATAATTAATTGACTGAAATATGGTTAAGGTCATAGAAAGTATAATCTAGTAAACAATTAATTAACCACAATATATTTAATGCTGTAGAAAAGGACATCTAATTAACAAAAATAAAATGAACCTAGAAATTAAAACATCATAAGAAGTGATGAATCGAGAATTAACCGTGTCTTCCATATCACAAGTTTCCGTTTCGAAATGGTATCAGATAAACATTTTTCTGACATCCATTACTTGTTAGCAATAAATTAATATTGACAGTCCATATCGTTACAATCATTGATATTATAAATTCTTTCACGAACTGTTTGCATTGTGATAGAAACTTTTATGGTATAAACGAGAGTAAACTTGCGTTTTTATGTCACTTAAGTTGTCCGGTCAGGTGACGACAAAATGGCGGCGGTCGAATAGAAGTTAAGAAAACTAGAATTTACATTTGTAGATTTCAAGGTAAATTATGTATTGAAGTAAAGTTTATTTCTGAGATAAAATGAAGGATTGTGAGAGTGTTGAAGATTATTGGAAACTTGAAGTTTTTCAAATGTTCATATTACAAAAATTTACTTGGTACAAGTAGAATTCAGAATCACCAAAAAAATGCGAATTCCAATTTGAAAAATTTGAGAAATAATTTCGTGAACAGTAAACTGTCATAAAAAACCTAACCTAAATCAAGAGAAAGAGGTAACTAGCCTAACCTAACCTAAACCAAGAAAAAGAGATAACTAACTTAAACCAGGAAAAAGAGATAATTAACCTAACCTACTCTAAACCAAAAAAAAAGAGATAGCCAACCGAACCTAAACCAACAAAAAGAGATAATTAACCTAACCTACTCTAAACCAAAAAAAAGAGATAGCCAACCTATCCTAAACCAAGAAAAAGAGATAATTAACCTAACCTACTCTAAACCAAGAAAAAGCTAACCTAACCTAAACCAGGGGAAAGAGTTAATTGACCTAATCTACTCTAAACCAAGAAAAATAAATATCTAACCTAACCTAACCTCTCCTAACCTAACTTAAACCAAGAAAAAAATATAATTAACCTACTCTAAACCAAGAAAAAAAGTAGCTATCGTAACCTAACCTCTCCTAAACCAATAAAAAGAGACAATTAACCTAACCTAACCTAACATAAACCAACAAAAAGAGATAATTACCTGTAGGTTACAAGTCCCCAGTTCTCCATAGCGCCAGCAGAGAAGTCCTTAATAGAAATTTGGTCCATCTTCCCCAGGGTAGACACGCCATACCCAATTCCCGTATATTCTTCTAATTTTTTCATCAAATTTACTCCCGCATCCAAAGCGTACTTCGCTTGGTCGAGTGCGTGGGGTTTGGTCCATACTCGGAAGCTATCGTCAGAAGTGTTAACCTTGCCATAGTCGGATACCACGAACGCCACCAGGTACGTAGACATATCCGGGGTCTTCTTAAATTTGGTGACTCTTTTGTTTCCCTCTAACTTGTCCTCGCCTTCTGCGTTCGTGTTGGAGATCGCGCTGGTTTCGTTAGAGTGAATCAAGGTCAGTTGGAAGGTCGCCTTGAAAGCGGGCTCGTCCCAGCAGGGGAAGGCCAGTCGAGCTCCTGTTGGCTCGAAGTGTGTCGTGGCGATGTACCTAGAAAAAATATATTTGTAAGCATTTTGAACATGGTGTAATTGTCACATCGATCCAACAACTGAGTTTAAGCAAAATAAAATTAACAAAATTTAGGAAAATTGAAAAAGACTTACCGTACTTCATAATTTTCGGTAAAGTATCTGCTTCTGTAAAATCCTCTCTTCTGATCGTTCAGTGTGCCAACAAAGTCCATGCTCAAGACATAATTCTTTCCCTTGGTGAGCTTAGTCTCCAAGGGAATGGTCAACAATTCCTCTACTTCATCATACTGTTCCTTACCAACAGATAAATTTTTTTTTTCAACGGGATCTTGAACCACAATATTCGACAGGTTCAACTCTTTCTTATTCAAAACCAAAGTATAAGTGTCCTCCAGAACCTTGAGCTGGACCGTCTCACTTCCAGTGAAAGTGAATTTCTCTAAATTTGGCTCCAGAGTCAAGTCATAGTGAGTCGGCTTCACGGTAGTCGGCAGCCTGTATCTGACGCGGTTTGAATTTCCCTCCTCCGCGGCTACGCCCTCGAACGCTACCTGACACGTGATCAGCAGCACGAGTAACCCTAATCTCGACATTTCCGATGAATCTGGAAATTTGTTATGTAATTGTGTAGCAGAAATTTTTGTATAATCGTGTTGAGCTTTTGTGAAGATTTATGTTACTGCATGTTTACGTATTTAAATAATTAAATATATTTGAGGAAGGGAAAATAGACTGTGGGTGTTCGTGCAAATGTTTTTGGGAAGTGAAGCTAAAATTGTGTTTTAATTTAATTTAATTTAATTTATTAATTTGATATTCGAGTTATTAATAATTGAAGTATTTTCAGGTAGTTCAAAAGTTCTGTCGGTTTTAATAAAAATGAGAGACAATTTTTAAAGTGAAAGTGTCCTTGAATTTAATCTGTCTTCACTCCCCCATTTTGAATATTTCTGAGCAACAAAAATGGTTGCTAGTTGAACTTCATTCTTGCTAAGTAATTATTATAATAATTGAACATCTATAATTATTATTTTAATGAAACATTTTTTTATCTGAGCCTTGATTTTTAATCACTCACTAAATTTTACTTTAAGAAATTTTTTAAAGCTATTCTAGTAAGACAAGTATTATCACGACTGTATTTTATATAAATATTAGTACATTATCTTGAAAGTAATTTCTAATTCTACATCTACAAACTTAAAAATGAAACATTCATCAAAAACTAAATACTAAAACAATTTCTGTTTATATAATATATAATTAATTTAATAAAACAGATCTCTAAATACTAAAACAATTTCTGTTTATATAATATATAATGAATTTAATAAAACAGATCTCTAAACCGACCAGAACGTTTGCACTCACCGAAAAAAATCAAAAAGCCACGAAAATCACTGCCACTTCAACATCGCACCAATTTAAATTTCCCGCGCAAACGATACTCCACACAGACCTCTCGATTTTCGCTCGAATTCGAACCGTCACAAAATTAGAAGGAAAAAATTCGGAAGTCAGAAGCAATTACGGAAATATTTGGAGAATTATGAAGAGATTAGAAAGATAACGTACCTTTCGTGCAAAGGAATTAATGGCCGATCGCTATGGCTAGCGATTCGTTTGTGGAAGGCTTTGTACAAATGTTCCTGCTTTATAGGCCTGTCACAGTAGGATTATTATCGAAAATATATCCAACTTTTCTAATCTTATCAATGCGTTGTCGCGATCGGAATTATGATGTGTCCGGCGTAACGCGATCTATTGTATCCGTGAAATTTCTTTCGAATCGATACATTTTCGAAATCCGCGTTACCGATAATCGTGGGGATCGATATATCGAACGATTCCGTGTAGCCGTTGCAAGAATTTGAATATGAAATGGTAACTTCCATTTTTTGTTAACTTATCGTCAATATCGTTCGGTAATTCTTAAGAACGATTTCGACAAAGTTCGACTGATCTTTATCGATGTACGTCATTCGTAATACACGGGAGATTTTCGCAGTTTGCTGAGTGGAACTTTTATGAGTCGTAGTTACGTGTTTAGTAATTTTTAAGTTGACTCTCGTTATATTGCCGTTTTTGCATGGAGTTCAAGGAAGGGGATTATGGGTTTAGAAAATGGATTAGGAGTTCTTGGATTTGATGGCTTTTGAAGTTGGGAAAATATAAACTTTTAGATTTTTTAGATTGATGAGGTTTCAAGTTTTTTAAGTCTCAAATTAGCGAGTTTGTAAAATTTCCAAATTATCAAATCTCCCAATTCCTTTATTCTTCAATTCTTTAATTTGTCAATTTCCTAATTTCCCAATACTCTAATTTTCCAGCTTTCTAATTTCCCGACCTTCTAACTTCCCAATTTGCTAATTCCCCAACTCTCTAATTTCCCAATTCTGAAATCCCCAAATTCTCAAATCCCAAATTTCCCAAATCCCCAATTCTCTAATTTCCCAATTCCCTAATTTCGCAATTCTCTAACTTCCCAACTCTCTAATTTCCCGATCTCCTAACTTCCCAATTTCCTAATTCTCCAACTCTCTAATCCCTAAATTCCCAAATCCCCAAATTCTCAAATCCAAAATTTCCCAAATCCCCAATTCTCTAATTTCCCAATTCTCTAACTTCCCAACTCTCTAATTTCCCGATCTCCTAACTTCCCAATTTTCTAATTCTCCAACTCTCTAATTTCCCAATTCTCAAATCCCAAATTTCCCAAATCCCCAATTCTCTAATTTCCCAATTCCCTAATTTCGCAATTCTCTAACTTCCCAACTCTCTAATTTCCCGATCTCCTAACTTCCCAATTTCCTAATTCTCCAACTCTCTAATCCCTAAATTCCCAAATCCCCAAATTCTCAAATCCAAAATTTCCCAAATCCCCAATTCTCTAATTTCCCAATTCCCTAATTTCCCAATTCTCTAATTTCCCAATTCTCTAACTTCCCAACTCTCTAATTTCCCGATCTCCTAACTTCCCAATTTCCTAATTCTCCAACTCTCTAATCCCTAAATTCCCAAATCCCCAAATTCTCAAATCCCAAATTTCCCAAATCCCCAATTCTCTAATTTCAAACTCTCAAATCCCCAAATTCTCAAGTCCCAAATCCTCAAATCCCCAAATTCTAAAATCCCAAATTTTCAAATCCCCAAATTCCAAAAACCGAAATTCTCAAATCCCCAAATTCCAAAATCCCAAATTCTCAAATCCCCAAATTCTCAAGTCCCAAATTCTCAAATCCTAGATTCTCGAATCCCCAAATTCCAAAATCCCAAACTCTCAAATCCTAACTTCCCAATTTTCTAATTCTCTTCCCAATTTTCTAATTCTCCAACTCTCTAATTTCCCAATTCTGAAATCCCCAAATTCTCAAATCCCAAATTTCCTAAATCCCCAATTCTCTAATTTCCCAATTCTCTAACTTCCCAACTCTCTAATTTCCCGATCTCCTAACTTCCCAATTTTCTAATTCTCCAACTCTCTAATTTCCCAATTCTGAAATCCCCAAATTCTCAAATCCCAAATTTCCTAAATCCCCAATTCTCTAATTTCCCAATTCTCTAACTTCCCAACTCTCTAATTTCCCGATCTCCTAACTTCCCAATTTCCTAAGTCTGCAACTCTCTAATCCCTAAATTCCCAAATCCCCAAATTCTCAAATCTCCAATTCCCTAATTTCCCAAATCCCCAAATATCCACTCCAAAAATTCCCAAATCCCCAAATTTCCACTCCAAAAATCCCCAAATCCCCCAAACCTTAAATTCCTAAATTCTCAAATCCCCAACTTCTCAAATCTCCAAAATTCCAAATTCCTACCACACAAGTTCGACCTTGAAGATTTTCCCCTCCGCTTTCACCGAATAATTCGAACAACTCATTAACAGACTCTTAATCAGCGCACAAAACTGTAGGAAATCTCATATATTCTCTTTACTAGATATTCAAACAGAAATTCAGTGCTAGACAATGTAATTTGAACTGTTTTATAACTCTGTTTGCCTACCTTCCGTGCGTTATCGGTTTCTTTATCTACAGTAATTAAATTTATTTGTGAAACGCGGCCTGTTACTTCGATAACAAATTAAATACCTTCTACCAATTCAATCGAGACTCATAAAAACACTTCGGATGTATGTATTACATTTTTTTCTTTTTTGATTATGTTCAATTTTTATGATTACTTTTAAACTCGTTTGTAAATTCCCGCCATTTTTTCGAACGATTTAAATCAAATCTTATTATATGTTAACACTGTTATATTTTTGCATAATACAGTTTTTATGCTTGATTATTAATGTATAAATATTTATTCATTTGTTTATAATGAGTTATTAAGAATATTTTAGGTATTTTAGTGGGTATGGAAGAAGTATGTGAATAATTGTAAATAACCTCCTTTCGCTAAGGTCACCTCAGTGTTGTCAGAGCGTCACAAAATGGCGGACACAGAAGAGGACAAAATGTACAGAATTAATTTTTCTGTTTAGCAATGAAAATTGTATTTACGTATAATAATTTATAATAACAATTGTTGATACATTACATTATAATACACGTTAAATACATAATAATAATAAACTTTATATAAATGTATATGAATACATAATAATAATAAGGTATACATAAATGTACATAAATACGTAATAAAATAAATATACGATAAATGTAATCATACAGATAATAGATATAATAAACATGAAGCTACTATAAAAATATAAAGCTTAATAAAGATAACCAATAAAATTAATACATAAATATAGACATTATTAATTTCACAAAAAAATTAATGAATAATAATTTTACGAAAACGTATGACAAATCAAGTATCGATCACTATTGCATCGAACCTGAAATTGAATGGCACGTAAATTCTTCGAACGATGACAAGTCATCTTTACGGATAACAGAAGTTGGATATTATTACGAAACCGATATTAATTTTCCGTAGTCTTCTTTGATCGATCGAGATAATCGTCGGAATAAAGTACGTGTAAGATCAAGGACGTTGATTATGTATACATAGAGAAGAGTACATTTAAGAAAATAATTACTGACAAATTGAAAAATTTTTTATTGCGGATGCAATAATGTGTAATGCGTTTTATGAATGAGGCGGAATTGTGATGTCATTGCGCGCCGAATCAATCATTTTCGCACCCTGATAATACAAATCTTGTACATCCGGAACGAAGGACAAGTCATCGTTTTACTCGGAGTTTATTTATGAAAGAGAATGTCTTCGATTTCGCAATTCCATATTCCATAATAATGATACGTGTGATATCAGTTTTTATCTCGATCGTTTAAATCGTGTTCTTTCATTTTAATCCGGAAGGTTTAATATGTTTGATGGAATATGTAGCTTGGAAGATGTAGTGAAAAGAATTGTATAAAATGTTACTTGTTTAAAATAAATTAATTATTAATGATACTATATTGTAGTATTAAATAATACTGTAAAAAAAAACTGTAAAATATACTAAATAGTATTATGTTTTGCAAACCGAGAATTGTATATTTTTTCGAGGGTACAAAGTTCCATATTGTTTTGAAATTAAACTATTGAATAAAGTGGATACTTTTCGAATTATCTCTGATCAAGCTTCCGGGTTTTTCCCGATTTCAGCGATTCGATTATCTCGTTTAATCAGGGCTTGTTAAGGCTTGTTAAGGAATCTTAAATGTTCTTTTTATTTGATATTGTATTCATCAATTTTATTTTGTATTGATACATTGATACATCAATTTTATATTTCATTGGTACATTGATACATTAATACATTGATGCATTGATTCATCAAGTTTCTTCTACATTGATGTATTGGTGTATTGATACATCGATACATTGATGCATTGATTCATCAAGTTTCTTCTACATTGATGTATTGGTGTATTGATATATTGATACATTGATGCATTGATTCATCAAGTTTCTTCTACATTGATGTATTGGTGTATTGATACATCGATACATTGATGCATTGATTCATCAAGTTTCTTCTACATTGATGTATTGGTGTATTGATACATCGATACATTGATGCATTGATTCATCAAGTTTCTTCTACATTGATGTATTGGTGTATTGATACATCGATACATTGATGCATTGATTCATCAAGTTTCTTCTACATTGATGTATTGGTGTATTGATACATCGATACATTGATGCATTGATTCATCAAGTTTCTTCTACATTGATGTATTGGTGTATTGATACATCGATACATTGATGCATTGATTCATCAAGTTTCTTCTACATTGATGTATTGGTGTATTGATACATCGATACATTGATGCATTGATTCATCAAGTTTCTTCTACATTGATGTATTGGTGTATTGATACATCGATACATTGATGCATTGATTCATCAAGTTTCTTCTACATTGATGTATTGGTGTATTGATACATCGATACATTGATGCATTGATTCATCAAGTTTCTTCTACATTGATGTATTGGTGTATTGATACATCGATACATTGATGCATTGATTCATCAAGTTTCTTCTACATTGATGTATTGGTGTATTGATATATTGATACATTGATGCATTGATTCATCAAGTTTCTTCTACATTGATGTATTGGTGTATTGATACATTAATACATTGATGCATTGAATCATCAAGTTTCTTCTACATTGATGTATTGGTGTATTGATACATTAATACATTGATACATTGATACATTGATGCATTGATGCATTGATACACCAAATTTTATTAAAATGAAAAAGAATACTGGTATTAAACACACTGTCTCATTATCCTTGTTCTATCAAACTTAAGCTAAATAAAGTCTCAATTAAATTGAAAATACTTCGCGATTCCAGGCGAGAAATGTTCAATCCACTGCACTGTTTCCGAAGCTTTCTTAAGTGCCTTTTCAGCGCCATTTAATGACGGTCCAAGTACATCATACCTTTCCTTGACGAACGAACGCAACTGCAAAACGAATATCCACAATCAAATTATATTTCACAAGAAGTGTAACAAGAATAAAAATAAGTAATTCTGGTTATACCATCACCACTTGTTCCGCTGTTGTTATCGCATTGCTGATCGCAGAGATTATTTTGTCCAAGAAATCGTGACCTCTTCTGTAAAATAAAATGAATATTTATCGCCGATGAAATTTCGTGATAACAGATAAGAATATATCGAAAATGCTTGTACCAACTTACAGATTGATAATCGTTGTTAAATTTTTTCCAACGAATTCTAAAACCTTCTCAACGTTGTCTACGTGGCCATTTAGAACAGCGTTCACTATGCTGATTCTGTAATGCTTGCGGACGCCATTTTGGTCTGTAATCGACATTTCGAGATACCTGAAAAAGACATGATTTTTTCTTTATTATATTTTTGTTATTTACAGTGGTAAAATTATCTTCTTTATATTATTATTCTTCGTAGAAATATTGGGTATATAATGGGCACTTTCCCCAATTCCACTTTCCTTAATTCCCACATTTTCTAATTCCACATTCCACAATTCCCACATTCCCCAATTCCTACATTTCCCAATTCCCACATTTCCCAATTCCCACATTCCCCAATTCTCACATTCCCCAATTCCCATA